CTGTATTTCTGAACTTATATTGCATGCACTAATCTTATTACGTATAAATATTCAATGAAGGGAATGTGTAATGTTTATATTGTTTTATGCAGAAACCAACCAGAGAATATGCTTTCTGAATGTCAGTCCTGATGAAGTGATAAGAAGCTTGTTTTATAATAAAAACAATGACTCACTTATCACCGTTTCGGTTTATGCCTCAGACAACTTCAGTTCTTTGAAATGCAGAAGCACAAGGATTGAGTACGTATCGACCTTCCCCCTCCCCTACATATCGACCTCCCCCCTCCCCTCCAGACACAAAAAAAAAAAAAAAAAAATTCAAAAGAAACAGCAGTGTAGTTGTCCAATTTACATCATCTTCTTTTATTTCTTTCTGAATGCACTATAAAATTATATGATCCAGATACATAAGAAGGGGTAAACCAGATGCTGGATTTGCTCTTTTTGAATCCGAGTCACTGAAATGGCCTGGTTTTGTAGAGTTTGATGATGTAAATGGGAAGGTTCTTACTTATTCTGCACAGGATAGGTAAATAGTCTGTCTTATTGGTATACCTTTCTAATACACTGTTGTCTTCTTGATTTGATTAACCTTCCTTTTGCTTCCATTTTATTATCAGTATATACAAGGTGTTTGATCTGAAAAACTACACAATGTTGTACTCCATATCGGATAAGAATGTCCAAGAGATTAAGATCAGGTAGTTCGCATGCCTCCTTAAACAGTGTGTCCGTTTTGTATTTGTTATTCTTTTGTTATTGCTAGTGGACATTTATGTTGCTTATGATTTCCAATTTTTCTTTTGTTTGTTGTCATAGCCCTGGGATCATGCTGTTGATTTTTACTAAAGCTAGTAGCCATGTTCCTCTTAAGATTCTGTCTATAGAGGATGGTACTGTCCTTAAATCCTTTAACCATCTCCTTCATCGGAATAAGAAGGTGGATTTCATCGAACAGTTCAACGAAAAGCTTCTTGTAAAGCAAGAAAATGAGAACCTTCAAATTCTTGATGTGAGGACTTCTTGATATCTTGCAGAAGTACTATAATTTATTCATTTGGATTTGTACGTCTGACTGCTATTATCTGTAGGTTCGCAATTTTGAGATGACAGAAGTAAGCAGAACTCAATTCATGACACCATCAGCCTTCATATTTCTGTATGAGAATCAGTTATTCCTGACGTTTCGGAATCGAACCGTGGCTGTTTGGAACTTTAGAGGAGAACTTGTGACTTCGTTTGAGGATCATCTTTTGTGGCATCCCGACTGCAATACCAATAACATATACATTACGAGTGACCAGGATCTTATCATTTCTTACTGCAAGGCCGATTCTGACGATCCATTATCTGAAGGAAATGGTAACATAGTTTTCTTCCTTTACTTCTAGTCTTCTATCCAATTTGATCTTCGACTATCCACCACAGGGATCACCTTCAGGGATCTCATTGGATGGAGAATCCTTTCTGTAACAGTTGGGTTTTGTATCTGAAACGGTGTTTGCATCTATATTTGTAGCTGGATCCATAAATATCAGCAATATCTTGACCGGAAAATGCCTTGCTAAGATAAGAGCAACCAACAACGCTGAAAAAGAATGCACTTGTAGTGGTGAGTCTTGTGGTAGCAGTTGCAATTCGAAGAAGCGGGCCCTTTCATCCCGAATTAGGAGTACAGTTGCAGAAGCCTTGGAAGACATTACTGCTCTCTTCTACGACGAAGAGCGCAACGAGATTTACACGGGCAATAGGCTCGGTCTAGTTCACGTATGGTCTAACTAATGGTTTCTCCGAGTTTATTCTCCATGTCGATTAGATTCTTTCTTGGTCTTCTAGATGGTTGAATTGATCGCGCTGCTCCCCCACCGCAACGACTCCCTAGAACTGTACCATTAGTTTGCTCTTGTACCATCAATCCCTTTGTGTTGCCTGAAATCCGAATTCGTTCCTTGTGTCTGTGTTGAGCTTGAGAACTTATTTTATAGCGACTCTTTCATGGTGGTGTAATATAAATGTAGAATTGAGTTTGCCATTTTTTTTCCCTTTTAACTGCACTCTTTCTACAACAATCATTGTTACAATAGTGGAGCTGGAAATGTTAGGAAGTGGAATTGGTGGGACAGAGATTCACTCGGGTCACTCAAATTGAATTTAACAGTCCATAATAATTCAATTCGTTAGCTCATCTCGCACAAACCAGAGGCACATAATTCAATTCGTCTTTAAGAATCGGACTTTAGAGTCAAGGGTGATCCAAATTTGAATTGGTGTGACCACATGGAACAGCTAGCTCACTTTTTTTCTTACCTTTTTCTGAAAGGAATAAAGTGGGAACTGGTGTGTGAAGAATGCTTTACATGGATTAGAAGGCTCGCAATATCTACCATTCGTGCATCACATGGAAATACCAAAGGCATGAGTGGATCGGCACCTTTACGATTTGCCAACCTTCGATCCCTTTGTCAAGCTCGTGCTGCTTCTGCAGCACCACTCAATTGTAACAATTTAGGGGGCCGTTTGCCACGACTTTCGTAGGAAGCACTTCTGTTTGTAAGAGTTTTTGTTGAAAGCATGCCAGAAATTAATTATTTAAAAAAATATCTTGAAAATGCTTCATGAAGATGCATGATCAGTGATGGATTTAAGATTTGAACTTGGGGGTCTTAATGTTAAATATCCAAGATTTTTAGATGGAAACATAGTGCAAAATGTGCAACCAAATTTCAATTTATTCACAGAGATATTTCATCAAATACTTAGTGGGCTTGTTGTTGTCAGTTGAACCATATTGGACATATGTCAATAGATATCGACATTTGCTAAAACAATCTAATGAGTGCTTTCGAGTACCGCTGAGATACATATAGCAAGGGTTACATCAAACACTTGGTAAGCACAAGAAGGATTCGTGCCGTACATTCGGAGGATCTTCAGAAAGCCTTCACATGATTATTTCCTTGCCTCTGGGTGCTCATGGGACCACCTTGGTCCCAATGTGTATCCGCCCTTGTGCATGACCAATTTAAAAGTGCTTATCTAAAAGCACTTCTGCTCAAAAGCGATTTCAGTAAAAGCAGTTTTATTAAAAGCACATTAATACTTTTAACCTAAAAGCATTTAAGAACACATTTAATTGTTTTGAAGAAACACTTCCAAAGAGTATTGTCATCACATAAACTAGTATTTGCAAGTGCTTTTAAATTTTTATGTCAAACGGTGTCGGACCTACCGGTGTCCTTGTGCTGCAACTATATGCACACTTCCACTGGCTGTGCGTGACAACATACAAGACAATATTTCGCAAGATATGATGAGAATATAGGAAGAGGGGAATGAGATTTAATAATGCTTATGGGAATCGTAGTTGTTTCGTCTTGTATGTTGGATCTTAATGGGCACCAAACCAACATATAAAATTTCTTTCGTTTTGGAATTTGGAAATGACCTCTTTTGTTGTTGTCCTTAAATTTGTTGAGCAACACGACACGAGCATGTGATAGAAGAATGAGTAATGCTATTCACATCTATTTTTTATTTTTCGGTTGATTTTATACACTTTATTTAATTTAACGGTTGAAAATTAAAAAAAAATGCGTAAAAAGTAGTGTGTGTTTAACACAACTATCTGATAATAACAAAACTGTTGCTTTTAGAATTTCAAACTCAAAAGTCACAAAAACTATTACATTACTCGTTTTCACTTTATTTTCTGTCTTTATAATTATTGCGTTTTTAGTAATAATTAAAATAACAAAAAATGATATTGGTTAGAAAATTAACGTTAAATTGCGAGGTGATAGACTTTCTCAAAAGTGAGACTCTCCATCGACTCTCATCACGTCATATTTTTTGCATAATATTTTATAATGTTTGCACGAGAATTCACGTTAAACCGTGAGGTGTCAAATAGTTCATTAAGAGTCTCACTTCTAAGAGAATTCCCTTAACGGTCCTCTAGTTTAGTATGGCTTGCAATCAAGTCCTAATCATAAAATCCATATATAATGTTAAGGAAAACTAATGAAAATGGTTTGAAAACTTTGAGTTTTAACGATAAGAACAAAATTAAGGGTAAAGTGAATAATACCAGAATTGACATTTTAGTGTAAAAATGTGGTTTTTCGTTAAAATGAACAGTACCGAGAGCTTTTCGTTAAAATTGTTTATATATATTAATACATGAAATCCAATGGGGTAGTATGCAACCACCACGTGGGGGTGGCGCCGTATCTCTCTAAAACGTTTTTGTGATTAACCCAAAACTAACCACCATCTAACTTTTTTTTAGCAATTTTAGAACACTTGCTTGCTAAATAAATAAGATTACAAGATTAAAAGATGACGTCATTATTTAAACCACATTTACTGATCCAATTATTTTTTTTTGTTAAAGACTGACCGCATGGTTGTTCACTCTTTTAATACATGTAGGTCCGACATATACATAGATGAAACTTAGCTCACTTTGTATAAAATGGTAGTCAACGATTTATATGGTACAAGTACATTGCAACTATGATGTATGAACACATCTCGTTATATTGTCAGTAGACTTCGCCACAATAACATTTACCAATATCATAAACTTCTTACAACGAGTGTTTACGATATCGTATCGGTGGAAGTATTGATATCCGTTTCCTTCGATGAAAACGATAGAAATTTGTTCAAAAACGTGAAAATTTAAATGAAGCTTTAGGGAGTATTATATGATACTTTGTTGATATTTAACTGATATGTTTGAAATATTAATGAAAACTGTCAATTTTAACTAAAATTTGAGAATTTCCCCGATGCAGAGTTAGACCTCACTTCCTTTCATATGTTATTTTTTTTTCTGGCATTTTTTACTAAAATATCAATCGTATCGAAGAAATCTCAAACACTGCCTCGAACTCACCTTGTTACTAAAAATTAAACATGCTCGAAACTGAAATGACAGTGACTTAAGTGAAAAAGGAAACAAACTTGCGGGGATAAAAAACATGCCAATGAGGAAAAGAAAACGCGCAGAGAAAAAGGAGGTGGAGGGAGGGAGGTGAGAGCGTGAGAAGTAGGCGAGTGGAGGACAAGTATACTCTCCAGCATCCACACAAAGCTATCAACGCGGTGGCTTTTCTCTTATTCTTCAGTCTACAAGTCTAGTGTGTGTTGCTCCTCGGTCTTCTTCCTCCTCCTCCTCCTGCATGTGCATTTCGCCATTGGAGCTCTCAGTCTCTCACTCGCACACGCACTCGCACTCGCACTCGCTCGCAGATCTCTCAGGCTAAAAGGTAAGCATTGCATCTGCATTTTTGGTTACTATTTTGATTGAATCTCTGTGTTTTTTGTTTGATTTGGATTCGAATCAATGCACTGCGAATGAATCGAATGTTTTTTAGATTGTTGGTGAGATTAGAATTGACTGATTTGGTTGTTTGTTTCTAACTTGGATGCTGAGATATAGGGGAGGACATTCATTTTCCTAGATCTGCATTTCCAAAATTTCAAATGCTGACTTTTCTTTTAGTAAATGAAATGCTCAAGTTTCAGGTGAATTTCGATCGAAAAAGAAAAAATTTCAGCTGAATCTGAGTTTTCAGTGACTTTGTTGAGCAATGGTTTATATATTTTCTGTAAATTTTGATGTGGATAAGTAAATCTGAGACTGTGATTGCATTTGCGAGAGAGAGAGACTGAGAACGATGTTTTGAATTTCGGGTTGTCGGTGTGCCTACCGGATTAATTTCTCTTAGAAACTGCACTTGTTGCAGCATAAAACTTACCACTTTTTAGCAGCCTGGGCACACACTCTTTACCTCTACTCAGTCAAAGGTCACTCTAGTTATTTGTCATTTTTGTTGTTTGTATTGGGTTTTACCTAAAATCTGTTTCCCTCTTTTGCCATACAGGTTGCTCTGCTTCGGTTCAGTTGTAAATGCATTGAGAATGGATGCGAAAATTGATGCCAATGCACCCTTGGACTACGCTGAATTTCAGATTTTTCCATCCCAGAACAGGTTAGGTTTTCGCCTTTTGGTAAATTTTGTTCTTTTAAGGGCATGTGCTTTCTCTTCTGTTGTATTGGATTATAAAAATTTATTCTTTCTGTATATACTACACTTATCAAAATCGCAACAAATATTACGAAACCTTTGATCATCACTTTAACTAGAATGAGTCTTTGGAGATAGGATTCGATAAAAAATTCAAGATATCCATGAAACCTATCAATCGATAGAAAGATATGTATAATTTCCTGTTGGTGATTCCAGTTATTTCTAGTTTGCTTCACTAATGTGTTGAGGGATGCTCTAGGTATGAGGCGCTTGTTTCCAGTGATGGAGAAGTAGAAAAGTTAGCAGGCGGGACTCTAGAGCCACTGTTGCCACATTTACCAGAAGTAAATGAATTGCATCGGAAGGGAACGAAAGCCAGCCTCACACTTCGACTTCCTAAAAGCCTGCATGGTGCAGCCTGGTTCACGAAGTCAACATTCATCAGGTTTTAAACACACTAGTGTTTCATTTTTCTTGTCTTTTTACCTTCAGTTTATAATAAAGACTAGTAATAATTCCTACCACTGCAATTCTTTTAATTGTTCACTTTTGGAAATTATCCATTTTATTTCCTGATTCAATAATTCTTTTACTTCATCACAGATTCCTGCAAATTACTGGTTCACCAGAAATAATGCATACCATTACTGCTACCGAAGAAGAAATATCTCAACTGGAAGAAGCCAGAAAGTTTCATGTTTCTTTATATGGCCAGGTCCCTTCTCCCTTCTTTCAAGATTGATGTTTGAATGTATGGTTTAATAACTATTCTGTTATCCGGTAACGAAGGTGTGTGATTTTTGTTAACAGTCTGAAGCTGAGATTGCATCATCAGATGCTTCAAAGTAAGTTCTTTTAATTCTTCATTTGAAATTTCATTTGAGTTGCATCAGCCTGATGCTATAGGAATTTGTGCTGTCAGGAACGAACTTTTGCGGGCTTTGGACTTGAGGCTCACAGCACTAAAAAGGGAATTAACTGCCGCTATTGAAAAGGCTTCTCATTCCTCGTTCAACTCTAAAGAGATTTCAAATTTAGCAAACTTTTCTCAACATTTTGGAACAACAGATTTCAGGTAAGGTAGTCACTTAGATTGATAGAAAGTTCACTGGTATTTTAGCTTCCTAGTTGCTCTGAAAGAATCCGTTGTTTAAAGATTTATCTGCTAAATTTTCTTACATAGGCAGTACTGTGGTGAAATGCAGGAATGCTCTGTTCAAGATTTTAGAACAGTATCAACAAAGCAAGAGTGGTGATCCTCAAAATGATGACAAGTGCGGCAATTTTGGAATTGCGAATGTTGATAAGACAGAAGGAAGTGCTCAGATATCAAAGCCCATGAATTTTGATACGCCAGTAAAATATAGTGTTTCACCTGCAAAAGCTGCCCAGGTTGAGCGACAGAGTTCAACCGAAAGCAGGGAGTCATCTGAGTCAAGTGATGAGGAGCAAACATCTGCAGAAAGAAGTAGGAGTCTTATGAGAAGTGCCACACCTAGAAGGTCAGCATCTCCAATGCGGAGGATTCAAATAGGGAGAACTGGATCACGCAGAGCCGCTGCATTAACCATTAAAAGCCTCAATTACTTTCCTTCTAGGGAAAAGCCTTTTTCTGAAGAGGGTGAACCTGAACAATCAAATAAGAAATCTGAGAGTAATGCACTCAGGATGAGTGTTCAAGATGCAATTAGTCTTTTCGAAAGCAAACAAAGAGATCAAGCTGCTGCAGATGCTCAAAAAAGGAGCTCGTTAACAAATATCTCTACGAGCACAAATAAAGCTGTATTAAGAAGGTGGAATTCAAGTTTGGGGGAAGCTTCCACCCAATGCCAATCTGAAATTGTCTCTGGAGACCGTGTTCCAATGACTCCCAATGATATACCAAATGATGAGATGCCAACATCTTCAGAAGAAGTGAAACCAGAGTCTGATCTTTTATCCACAGATCAAAGTACTATTGAAGCTCCTAAACCTGCAGTTAACGAAGGAAATTTTGAGAAAAAATTATCTAGTCCAATTGATAATGAAGCAGACTCTAATGTAACTCCGGGAGAGAAAAGTAATCAAAAATCAACAGCATCAATGGAATGGACTCGAGAAAGGGAAGCAGAATTGAACCGAATGCTGTTGAAAATGATGGAAAGTAAGCCTGTTAAGCCTGTGAAGCCTGTTAAGCCTGTGAAGCCTGTTAAATCTACAAAGCCTCAAGCTACCAGAAATCAAAGCCTTCCTTCTGAACAGAGAGGTGGCTTTTATGACCACTACAAGGAGAAGAGAGATGAAAAACTACGAGGTGAGAATTCTAGAAAGCGAGCAGAGAAAGAAGCACAATTCAAAGCCATGCAACGAATTCTTGATGAAAGGAAAGCTGAAATGTCCTCTACAAAGGCGAATGATATTGATAAAAAAAGTTCTATGCAGAAGCCCCAAAAATCACTTGGAAAAGTATCTCAACCTGCAAATCCTAGAAAGGAAAATGCAAAACCTTCTGTTACAAAGAAGGCTTCACCTAGAACATCACCCTTGCCTGCTACACGCAAGTCATGGCCATCGACACCAACACCGAGAGCCACTGGGGCATCGCCAGCTAGAACTCCAGTTGGGGTCTCTTCTACCAGCACTACCCCTACCCGTCAAAAACCCAAGCCAACACCACCCAGCACTAAAGTGGAAAGACCCCTGCAGCGACAGAGGAATGTGAAGGAGTCTGTGAGTACTAATGACAGGAGCTCAAAGGGAGTGAATGAGAAGCAGCAGCAAGCAGTGAAAAAGAGTGGTAAAACAACAAAACCCAAAGTAGTGACAACCTCTGGTGATTATTCTGATATAATTCCAGCAAAGCACAGCAAGGTGACCAAGAAAAGCAGTGTAGTTCCAGTGGAATCAAAACCATTTCTTCGGAAGGGTTCTCGAACGAGCCCTGGTGTTGGTCCCGTTGTTAACAAGATAAGAACTTCTCCTCACTCAGAGGAATCTTTGGGAAACAGCACAAATATGATTGAGACTCAAGAGGATGAGGTACTTGGTAGTGCCTCTGATCCTGTGAGTCAGCATCAAGAGCCAGATGTTGTGTCAGTCGGCCTTTCAAATGATGCTGTGGAACCAGAAGCTCTGGTAAATGATAGCCTGACATGTAGTGAGACGCAACATGTTGACCCAGTTTCCCCTGATCGTAATGATCACTTAAAAAATGTTGCAGAATCGTCATTGCAAGTTCAAGCTGAAGAAGAATCAACCATCTCCCCAAGTGCTTGGGTGGAAATAGAGGAGCATCAGGCCATGTCCCCTGGTAACAACGGCTCATCTCAAGTAACTACTTCAGCCAATGTTGCACCAGCTGGACTGTCAAGTCCTCGTGTCCGTCATTCTTTGTCCCAGATGCTGCAAGAAGAAATTAACGGACCAGATAATATTGAGTGGGGAAATGCTGAAAATCCTCCTGCCATTGTGTTCCAAAAGGATGCCCCAAAAGGACTGAAGAGGCTCTTAAAGTTTGCTCGGAAGAGCAAGGGAGATGGTAATTTGACTGATTGGTCTAGTCCGCCAGTTTTCTCTGAAGGAGAGGATGATGTTGACAGTGTACTCAGAAAGGCTTCGCTTCATACAAGGAACTATGAACCATACTCTAGTAAGTTTCCTATTTAACAAAAGCAGATGGTATTTCATATTGTAGTTGTGAAAAGTTAGATGTTTGGATGTTCATCTTGTTCCTCGTGCTATTAACATTTTGGATTTGTGCATGCAGCTCAATCAAATATTAGCAGATTTGACGATCAGAGTTCTTCACATAAGTCACAAGAGAACCGTGATGCAGCTGCAGGACCTGCAACTAAAGGTTGTCTTCCCACACGACTAGAGTATACACAGTATCGTTTTCTTTGATTTTTGTTTTCCCTGCAAATTTTTCTACACCTGCATGCAGAATTTCAACGCGCCAATTCTAATTCGCTTAATAAGATTCCAACACTACTATCTTTGTGTTTCAGCTGCAACAAGGTCATTCTTCTCTCTTTCAGCGTTTAGAGGCAGCAAACCAAATGAAATGAAGTTTCGCTAATCCTAGAGGCGCATGTGGAGTACTGGAGTCAGATTCTGCGAAACTTTCAATTTTTCGTTCACTGTCGTTGTAGCATACTAGCATGCATGATGCATTCATCCCTATACTTCTGGCATTTCTTTTCACTTCTTTTCTTGTCGTAGTACTGTGTTGCCGGGTCTTTGTACATGCTATATGCCCTTGTTCTGTTGTTCTCAGAGATTTAAACAGAGCTCTTGTTCTTAAACCTTATGTTTCGGATGTCAAAGCGACTACAGATCGCTACATTGGCATCAATACGAATGCTTTGCGTATATTGTCATCAATACGAATGGTTTGTGACAGAGGATGTCTGTTTCCCAAATTCTTTACAAAATTACATATAAAAATGCTGTCTTCGTCTTCATTATTTGCGTCGCACGCCATTTTGCTTGTTCCATAACCACCCGAATTACGAAGAGCACGTCATTTACCAGTTTTCTCTAGGGGATTTTTGTGCGTGCGGAAGATCCTTGCACCCAAGAATTTATCTTCACATGTGGTCGGGAAATTCTTGGGTGCGGAGGTCAACCACACGCACCACCCCATCCTCTTGTATTTTGATCCTACCCACCCCCGGTCACACCAACTTGCGTCTTGCGCGGCGTCCAGACTGAAGAATTTCTCGTACATGCTGGGAAAAATATCACAGTTGCAACCTCATATCATATCCAAATCTTATCCAAGCAGATCCCGGTTGCAACCTCACATCTTGTTTCACGTAGATGGCGGCTTATGAATCGAAAGAGACGGTGCAAAATGAATGCTAATTCGTGCAACAATGTCGAGAGGTGCCGAGACTCAAACATAAATTATACATCGAAACTGATCAGGTTATATCTACATGTAGTATTCTCAACAGTTTTTAAAAGTTAATCAGTCTGATGAGTTAGATATTGCAACAGAATCAGGGAAGTTGGTCCTTACAAGAACAGGAGATCAGACAGAATCATGTTTTCATGTGAGTTGGTCCTCCAAAGAACTGATGTGCTTCTCCCTCCTCAGAAATCGAAGGTACGGGAAAATCACGTACGTATGAGACCCATAATAACATGAAAATATTTGATACAGTCGGTTTATGCTGTCCGCGGCAGCACGGTCACCCAAGGATAACTGAAGAGATGAGAGCTTCACAAGTTCATATCCAATGACAATGTGATTAGGGTTATAGAGCTTCTCCAGGATCTGCCAATTGCCAGCGCGAACATGAAAACGTAATTTGGAATTATGCAAAAGAAATATACACCAAGTGACTAGTGAGATATTTTTATAAAAACCAAAGAAGATCATACTTCGTTTTAATTCACAAATTACTATCTATGAATACATATCCTTGCAGAAACTTAGATCTAATCAACACTAATGCAAAAAGTTCAGGATGATATGGCTTGTGTATGACAAGAATTTTACCTCGATTGATGCTTTGCAATGTTCCATTGCGGGTTGCAACTCTCCAACCAAACAAAATGCCTGCGCAAGATTGTCTTCTGCCTGCAAATGTCAAATTATTTTAGTTAACCGTATACAAATGAAAGTTGCACATTCAAATGATATGAACAATGGCCAAGTAGCTCCTCAGATAAAAACGTAGAGTTAAAGATCGTAATGATTTTTGTGATGATAAATTTCTAAGATTCGAAAGTAAAGGGTGGTCAGAACTCACTTCTGCAATGCTCCTATTATATGCAAAAAATGTTGATCTCAGCAGACCAAGAGAACTTAAAGCATCCAAAAGTACTGTACTAGAAACATCTTGTGAGACTATTGCATCCCGTAATCTGTCAAGAAAACAGTCAATACTCCAGCATGCAAAATGAACATAGAGAATAGGCACTCCGGTAATTTGGAAAGATAAGAACCACTTTTCAGACAGTGTTATACCTTATGATGCGCGTCCGAGCTTTATCTGCAGCTGCAGAGGAAGATTCCAGATCACGATAAGAACCACATTTTAAACAAAAGCCCGGATTAATGTCGAAAACATTATTGGGTTGCACATGAGGAGCCAGTTTATTGATCTCATCAGTATTGAACTCTTCAACCTGTACGAACATAAATGAAAATTAATAACAAAAAAAATTCAGTGAAGGACCACAGGAAAAGAACCGAAAGTGACTTGGGAGATCATCATTCCTGGGATATATAGTTATTTACAATACCTGAAGATGAGGCTCCACACTACTAGTGCTCACGATACGGGGCAAATACTTAAGTTTCTCTCTTTCAATGTTAACAACACCGCTATCCAAGACTATGCCGGGACAATTTGGTTTGACACAGTGAAAACCATTTAGGGCTAGGTTGGAAAAGTTCACATTTAAACAACCCCTACACTGACATCGAAATGAGTACTCATCTTCCAGAAACTTGACACGGTCCTTACAGTCCCACTGCCCAACCTGTATAAACAAAACTTAGTTTATAGTAAGAACAGAAATTTAGTGTTTCACCATGTAGAAGGGGCCCTTCGGAAGGGCTACCTGCATTGATACATATACAGCTCCTTCATTGACAAGATTCAATATCACCATAGCATTTCATGGAAGAACATCATAATCTTATTCCATATTAGAAAAACTGAACAATATAATAGTAACTGGGCATACCTGTGGACCATATGAAAATTCCAAAGGAACCCCCGATGTGACAAATTCTGTTGTTCGTATAAAGAGAGTGCGTGAAAGGAAATATGCATGGATGTTTGGCTGACAAGAATGGTTGAACAGACTTCCAGATATATAGATTGCTTGACCTACTTTGACCTATATAAGTTGCAAAAATAATGTTGCAGATAGATCAGAGGGCATAATATTTATGAATTGAGGTTTGATGTACATAAACAGATCAACTGATCAACACAAGCATCTTTTACATAAATTATCACAAGTGTCAAAAATGAAAATTGCCACTTAATAAAGATCATTCAACGCAAGAGCAGTGAACAAGGATGGCAAGGATGGTCAGGAAAAGAGGAGAAACAAACAAGAACAAATAAAAACAAAAGCATACCATAAATGCGAACCTGTTCCATGTTACTAGTTAGACCTTCTCCCCAAGGTGTAAGCTTTCCAAATTGATCTTCTAACCCATGATGATCAATGGATTTCATACGAACAATTGTCATAGAGTTCACCCTAATTTGGGATATAAGTATGACAATCTGCAACAACAGGGGAATGGAACCTCATATAACAGATGACAATCAAGACGTGACATATAAATCCTTTTGAGATATAGATAGTCTAAGTATTTACAGATGTCAAAAAAAAAAAGTTCAATATTTATTACAATCTCTGAAATGATAACATAATTTGGTGATGATAGCAATGAACATATTTAGGATCTGCACGTGCACCTTGCATTTATGAGAGCATTGGGTTTGTACGTGTGTGCGTGTGTGAGTGAGAGAGAGACTGAGAGATAGAGAGGCGACCTGTGAAATAGAGAGCCCATTTATTGGTAATTCAAAACCATCGGAATGTTGAAGACAGTATAATAATACAGCAGAATATATATGTAATTCCAATTTCGTTTCTGGAGGCATTTTCGAATAATGATGAGAAAGATCCTGTGAGAAAAAATAGAGGTCATTAGCTACAAGTAAAATCTATTCATGAGATAGTGATAAGATAAATTGAAATGAAAGTTAGTAATGTAGACAATATAATAAGTATATGTACCGAAATTTCACTAAGATGAAAAGTATCAGTGGAACCTCTTCTTTTGATTACAGACTTTACTAGCACTCGGCCAGCCAAAACTATCTCTGATGGCAATACTGCTGGCCAGTGTACACCTTTACATTCATGTTTATGTTCAGGAATGTGCTCAGTATCTGTTTCAGATTCAACATTTAAAGTGGTATCTACAATGTACTTTTCAAGATTGGCTGACAGATTTTCAAGAATGTTTTGATTGCTTGGGTAATCCCAGCACATTTTTCCTCCTGCTTGTATACGGCATTTCTGGGAGCAATACAATGGTATTGAACACGATGTACATGGGACTTTATCCGCTGGTAGCTCATTCAGGCAGTAGTGGCAGTGAGTTTCCCGACAAGGTTTTAATATTATCTGCAAAAAACAAGGCCAAAATTTCATCCATCAGTATGGCAAAGAAATGCGCCAATCCCACTCTTTTGGAAGGGAAGAGAAGACAAGGCAGTGGACCACACCACAAATATAGCTTAAGGATTCAAGAAAAGCTGAATAAAAAGGAAATCTACTTGGACTGAAACACTAAAATCTAAAATTAAAGGAAATTAACAAGATGGAAAAGTAAATAATAGCAAATATGAAAGAGATGTCAGTTCATACCATTGCAAAAGGGTCTTCTGTATGTACCCAGGAGGCTTGAGGAAGGTCACTGGTTGAAGTCATACCCCTTCCTTTCTCTGGTGTGGTGACACATTGTAATTCCATTTGGTGCAGTTCATCTGATGGATTACAATGTACTTTAATTAGGTCATTAGTACTTGCATCCCCAAGATGAGTTACGACTTGCTTTATTAGAAAGAAAATAACTGTTGCGAAGTTTAACCAGTACAACAGCTGCACGGTCAAAGGTATCTTAGAAAAACTGGAAACCATGTAAAGATTGCATTAAGAGGTTTAATAACAAAAGTACACTAGCAATGAGACCATTGGCCACTGCTACATCCTAACGTAAGTGTGAACAATCCATCAGCTTAAGTGAATATAACGTAAGAAACACAAATATTATGAAATAACGAATACTCCAAGAGAGTTATATCATTTCAAGCTGTTAGGTGTCAACATGGATTCATATTTGTAGCCTTTGTATGTCTCCAAATTGTTATTTATTCATCTGTTGTTTTAATCACAGGGTTTAGAAAAACGTATAGGGGCCAATCTCTAAAATGATCTTAAGAAATCACGAAATGATTATTCATCAAAAGTGAGCAGTGACTTTCAGTCCAGAGGTCAAAAGATTTGAATATAGTCACATACTTTAATACTTAACAGTGTTAATATCTTACCCAAAATATTTGAGTTATTCTCGTTATCTTGTTCTGATGGAATCGTACTTTTATGCTGATCCGAAATTATCTTCATCTCACTTTCTATCTGTCTCTTTCCACTGATTGACAACTCCAGAACCTTAGCAACATCCAAGTCACAGATTGCATCCTCATAATTTCCGATAGAAGCATTTGCCTTGCCCCTTCTATACCATGCCTGCAGCACACACAACAAATGTAAGTTTGGAAAAACTAGTGCAAGTCCTTTTGTCTCCCTTGTTCTATAGTCACAAAGGCAATAAACTCAAATCCACACTACGAAACATAATGTAGCGCAGCACAATAAAAGCATTTCACCTTTGCATAGTTTGAAGAAGTTTGAAGTGCCCGATTGCAGTCTTGTACACACTCCCTCAGAAGACCCAATTTCTAAAAGAAAACTTATGGCAGTAAGCAATGAAATCTGTCGAAAAGGCTTTGAACTTTTAAGTTTGGTGCATACACAATTACCCACATATCTAAAGAATGAGACATACCTGCAACACAGAAGCCCGATTCGTATACAAAGTAGTAACCAGATTTCTGTCTTCATCTACATCCATAGGAGCAACTCTCAATGCCTGTGTGCCCCAAGCCAATGAAAAATATATACAAACAAACAAACAAACAAATATTGAATTAGCAATGCCTACTGGTTAGAGAACTAATCTCAAATACAGAAGTACCTGGGTATAGCAATCCAAAGCTTCAGCATAATCACTTCTCAAAAAGCACTTATTGCCCTTTTGCTTCGCCTCCAAAGCTGCTTCTTTGTTCTTTCCACAGAGAGCTACTTCTGGGTCCGCTAAGTCCCTCACCATCTGATAAAATCCCACAAATTCCAATCAACTTCTCATCTGATTTCTTCTGTTCCTGTTTCCTTTTCGAAGCTCGCAAATTTCAGTGTATAAAAATATCGACTTACTTGCTGAAAGGGCTCGAAATGGAGGAGAAAATCGGCTAGAGAAGAGCAGGTTCGAGGAAGATCGTCGGCGGCGCTGGCGGCGATCGATCGCTTTAGGGTTTCTGGAACCAGAGATTTCAGCTTCTCCATGATAGCGGGTTTTTGAGCTTTGGAACTTCGCCCAACGGCTATTTGCTACCCGCCGCTAAACGGCCACGGCGCTTTTGCTCCGCTTTTCACACACGTGTGAAGCCAGTTTCTTTCCTTTTTTTGGAAATCACACGTGATGGGAAGAAACCACAAAGGCCCTTTGCAACTCCAATAAAAAGTAGGAGTTTCTGCTTAAAACCGTTTGTTTGTTGATTAATAGAATTTTGTGTTTATGATTTGATTCGGTCATAATATAAATCATTTTGTAAGAGCGCCTTTGCAAAAAATAACTAAAAATAAGTTTGTTTAGTCATCCAATTATATAAAAATGGATGAACGAAAATGGTAAAAGCATTACGAACCATATGTATTTACTATAATATGTTGCCTAAATAACCGTAGTTTTAATTCATTTTTTGCAGTGATGATCTTTACAAAGTGATTCATTATATGAACAGTTATGATCATAAACACAAAACTTTGTATTAGAACTTGAAATTAGGGGAGAGAGAGAGAGAGAGAGAGAGAGAGAGAGAGGCGCCAAGGTCCAGTTGTATCAAAGAGAAGTGCAGCAACCCAAAATACCAAATCAAATTTCGAATCGCATTTTAACCATATATAGTACAACAAATCAATGTTTTGAACTAGTTGATTCAACATGTTTTTATGGTATAACAACATATGCAATTCCGAAATGCTTCATTTGACTACACTCCCCTTAAAATCTCTCTTCCAAACACAAAGCTGAGAAACAAAATCCACAAAATATGTAGGAAAATCATAACAATGTCTTGTTGTAACAAAATCCATATTACAAACACAATGCTTTTCACTAAGCCCAGACTCTTTTTCTGGGCACAAGATCTGATGTTTTTATGTCATCTATTCTGGCAGCCACGATGAAATCATTCATGCTCAATCCTCCTGCAATCAAAGTTACCTGTTAGCCCAATCAAAACTTTCTAAAGTCATGCGTGTGTGGACGTAGCCTCATTGGACGTCTCCTGTGTTAATTTAGAATATCGCTTGTATTAAAGAAAGTAAAGACGTTGTAATATGATGTTTTACCGATGGAAGATGTACATAGCTCTGCTCTAACTTGGTTGGGTTGCTCCAAGTGAAGGTTTGGGAAGTGCCCTGCAGAATCTACAACCTTATAAATCCTGTTGATGAGTTCAACCCCACATTGATAATCTCTCAACTTCCACAGGCACTGCAATTTCAGCCCACCTTCTCCCACTATCAATCTCCACCCAACAACCTACAGAAAACAAAAGGCACATTTCAACTTCACAAACACCACCCAATTCTGAAAGAGACAATCAAAGCAGGTCGGGCGTAGCCATATTGGTTAGAGCGGATGTGCCACCTGAAGTCCGAATCCCCCTCGCGCCCGTAGTTTGTATTGTATCAAAAAACAGACAACCCACAAAGTCCTGAACTTTGAACAGAACCCAAAAGGGTCCCCTCCCTCAGGTGAAGTCGATATTTTTCGTTTATGATAAAAGAAAAAAAGACTGAGACTGAAAGGGTAATTTCATCGAACACCATATGGGCATCTCATACAAAAATGGGGATGTAAGTGAAGAATTGAATTGACCTTTCTGAGGAGCTCCTTGGCATCGTCCTCCGACATAGGAGGCTGGAGGGGAGAGACGGGGCTGCAGTCTAACTGGGACAGAGAGAGAGCAGACAAATTGGGGATGAGGATTTTGTGCTCGGTGTTGCCGCTGCCCAGCACCTTCTCACCAAACCCACTCGCTATCTCAGCCGGAAAGGGGTCTCTGGCACCGAAATCCCCCAGCATGTCATGGCCCAGAGCCTGAGTTCGCAGGCCGAGTCGAACCCGAGTTGGAACGGTGGTTAAGTTGGGTAGGTAGTGGTGGCAGCGGTGAGGTGGAAGGGAGAGATGGGGTAAGGAAAGGATGGTGGTCGCCATGGCCATGGGGGATGTGCAGGCAGAGTGCTGCTTTGAGGGTTGTTTGGATTGGTGTTTGCTTATCTTGGATTACAGGGAAGGGGCGGGTTCGGCTCTCAGTGGCTGGATAAAACCCACATCATTAACTAATGGTATTATGTATTTTTTTTATTTTATTTTAAGAAATCATGTTTTTTGCTATCAGTGATTTTGGGTACATGTATTCGAACAACATAGAAAATCGGGTACAAAATATATATCCTTAAGGTTTATTTTTAGCCACGTCTCTTAGAATTTGATTTTAAACTCACTTGATATTTGTAACTCAAAAGTCGTCATTTTACTTCGTAAAACTAAAAATATGCTCCACTTTGTTACTTGGAACTCGATTTTGATTCTATTTTGTCATTTGAAACTTAAAAGTCATCTCTATAAAACTCAAAATTCGTTACATATTACATTAAATTTGCTAATTTCTTATATGAGTTTGATTTGTATGTGCCATGTTAAACAAATTTCTATTTTTTTTTTCATCTCTTCAATTTCTTTTAAATTTAATATTATCTAATTATTAAATGTTAATGTGCAATGATATTTATAATCAAATGTATTTCACATATGACATAGTCTTATTGGGTGTTGGGTCTCATATATGTTCTAAGAGTTGACCTATAATTTTCAAGGAGAAGAGAGTGTCTACAAGTCAAAGTGGAACAAATTTTGAGCTTCAATGAAAAAAGTGGTGACTTTTGAGTTACATGAGCAAAGTGAGATAGAAATAGAGTTCCAAGGGGCGTAACTAAAAATAAGTCTTTTTTTAATTACTTGAATTACAAACTTCCAACATATGTTAAGAAAATGTTCATTGATATTGAACTATTGTGCAATTATCTCGCTTATGACGAGATTTTAGTATTGTTCCTCATCAGAATCGTGGTAGTGATTGTTTTATCAATTTCTTTTATGTTTTGATTCAATTTTTTACAGGGTTAATTAGTTTGAAAGTGTCTACCAAATCAAACTCCAAAATTAAAATAGGGTAAATTTGTGCACCAAATGATGCGCAGGTAGATTTTACACCTCATAAATTTTTATGGGACGTTTTGATATAGGTGCCTTGTTTTTTAATTTTTTAGACTAAACATACACTCCTTTTAAAAATTTGATCAAACATTTTCCTAAAATTTTGGTTATTGATTTCAGTTTTTCACATAAGTTCAACTTTGTATAGAATTTTAGTTTTTCACGATTTCTCCTGGGCATTTCTTTTTTTTTTCTTTACCTATTATCCCTATATTTATGCATTTATTATCCATCTCTATGCATTTTTTTATTGTTTGTTATAATTTTTATTTTTTGTGTGAATATAGTAGAATATTTATAAAAAAAAATTGTCAGATTTGATTATTTGAAAAGACCCAGCACATAAAAAAGATTTGTTTGATTATACAGCTACGTCTAGTTACCTATAATATGAATACATTTAGTTTTATAGTGGATTTGATTTTTTGTATTTCTCGATACATTTGAAATGTAAATGTACTGAAAGGGTTATTTGATAGAGACATTTGGTTTTGTGGTGCATTTGAGATTTTTTGTTCATTTGGTCTTTTAGTACATTTGGAATCTAAACTTACCAAGATGGTTACTTAACAATGGGCACATTTGAAATTTTGATACATTTGAAATCTAAACGTACCAAAAGGGTTACATAATAATGGGTACATTTTGTCACATCCCGGCCCAGGGTCCACCACATCCCGGGCTCGCTCCACCACCGTAGCACGATATTGTCCGCTTTGGGCCCCGACTATGCCCTCATGGTTTTGTTTTTGAGAACTCACACGAGAACTTCCCAATGGGTCATCCATCATGGGATTGCTCTCGCGCGCTACTCGCTTAACTTCAGAGTTCCGATGGAATCCGAAGCTAATGAACTCCCAAAAGGCCTCATGCTAGGTAGGGATGAGAATATATATTTAAGGATCACTCCCCTAGGTGATGTGGGATGTTACAATTCACCCCCCTTAGGGGCCCGACGTCCTCGTCGGCACACTTCCGGCCAGAGATTGGCTCTGATACCAAATTGTCACATCCTGGCCCGGGGTCCACCACATCCCAGGCTCGCTCCACCACCATAGCACGATATTGTCCGCTTTAGGCCCCGACTACGCCCTCACGGTTTTGTTTCTGGGAACTCACGACCAATTTCCCAGTGGGTCACCCATCCTAGGAGTGCTATGGCCCCCTTCTTGCTTAATTTCGGAGTTCCGACGGAACCCGAAGCCAATGAGCTCCCAAAAGGCCTCGTGCTAGGTAGGGATGAAAAAATATATATAAGGATCACACCCTTGGGCGATGTGGGATCTTACAATTCACCCCCCTTAAGGGGCTCGACGTCCTTGTTGGCACACCACGACCAGGGTTAGGCTCTAATACCAAATTGTCACATCCCCGCCCGGGGTCCACCACATCACGGGCCCGCTCCACCACCGTAGCACGATATTATCCGCTTTGGGCCCCGACTACGCCCTCATGGTTTTGTTTCTGGGAACTCACACGAGAACTTCCCAGTGGGTCACCCATCATGGGATTGCTCTCGCGCGCTACTCGCTTAACTTCAGAGTTCCGATGAAATCCAAAGCCAGTGAGCTCCCAAAAGGCCTCATGCTAGGTAGGGATGAGAATATACATTTAAGGATCACTTCCCTGGGCGATGTGGGATGTTACACATTTGGTTTTATGGTACATTTGAATTTTTGGTGCATTTGGTTTCCCGGTACATTTGAAATCTAAACGTACCAAAAGTCGATACTTTTGTTCTCAAATGTACCATAAGTTTTAAGTATATTTTTATATATATCTATACGTGAAAAAATTATGTATTGAAAACTTTTTATTGAGACATTTTTAATAGAAAGAGAACTTTTTTTTTAATTACTGATAATAAGGAAATGAGAAATTAGTTAATTAATTTTTTTATTAAAAAATGTCATTTAATGCGTAGAAGGGGATTGATGAAATTAAATTCCTATATTATAGGCAATTAGTTGCTAAGCTATCTTATGCCTCTATATAAATGCATTTAAATTAATGACATAGAAATTAAATAAATAGAAAGTTATTGAGGTGGCAATTGATCAAAGCACCTTAATCAAATATTTAAAAGGGATGAATGTTTAATCTAATAACTATAGAAAATATGTAGGAAATTCTAATTTTCTCAAATTTTATTACACAAATTTA